ATTTCGCTATTGAATTGAGCTCTCATTTTCCCCCGGATATTATCAACGTGCAAGTGGATCAATACCCGCATGATGTGGACCCAGACAATGACAGCAGATCGGGTTATTCCGAGATCTGGGGCAGAAGTCAACGTAATGTGCGTCTCCACATCGAACGCATCTTGGGGATTGTCTGCAATTGGCAGCGATGTGCCAGAAACCCTGACAGCGATAACACTGGAGGATTGACTTTCCAGATTGCTGGGGGTAATCCTTGGAGGTGAGTTCCTCATTCAGACCTCTCGTTGGATTCATTATTCTGCAGAAATCTTCGGTGACAACTGCTGGAAGGGCGTTGAAGCGACAGATCCCGAAGAAATCTAGTCCCTCACGAATAAGTTTTTCGTAGTCCGACACATCAGGAATCTGAAGACGATGCATCCAGAAAATTTAATCACAAATTCGTACTTCACTACTTTTACCGAATAATTCATTTTTATTTTATATTTACGATTAACATTTCTTAATGATTTTGGCAGTTGCGTTCGCTGATGAATGAGTGATTGAATAATTGAAAATAATTAATTTACTTTTATTCTGATGTGGTACTGGCATCTGTCAAGAGTCGCTGAGGTAATCCCTTGTTTATTTAGAGCAGAACTTAAATCTTCCAGAGGAATAGCCCAGGGTACATCGTGAAGAAAAATTGATTGTTTATAATGTGAACCGCACGCTCGAAATTTCACGACCTTCAATTAATTAATGGATTAACTTAATTATTCAAAATAAAATTCAATTTTCAATTTGAGTTTCTTGGTAATAAAATATTTATCTGACATTTTTACCAAAACAAAAATATTTTTTGCTATAGCCTCAGGATAAATTTCATGAATTGTCAGATTGTTTAATTAGAGATAATTAGTGGCGAAAGGGGATTTACTTGGACTGGGGATCGGAAGATCTCTGAGAAATTTGTGGACTCAATTAATTTGTCGGCATCGGCCTCTGAACAGAAGGAGACGACCAGTCCATATGTCGTTTGATACGTGCTCCAGTTGTCCAAAGGTTGGGACTCTAGGATTGCTCTCTTCAGTTCTGATCTCGATAGGCCACCAATTTTATTAGGAATATTCAGCATCCGCGAGATGTACAGAGAGCACCCAGATTCATTGCGATTAACTGCCATTTTTATGGCGACCAATGCAAATAAAAAGCATTTGTAGGTTTAAAAAAATGTTAAATGGAGTTTTGGTAATGATAACGGGCTGCAGCTGACTTCACCATATGCCAAGAATTTTGTTTATTTAAGAATGAAATAAAATGATATTAAAAAGTGATATTAACACCCTATTTTGGATTCTGGGCACGTCCATTCGATTGTTCTTATCTCTGAATTGGCGAGAGATATCTAATTTTTTGTTATAACATTTTTTGCAGCTCTCGATTAAATCTTCAAAATATGTCTTAAGCAAAATAACGGTATTCGTTTTGGTTTTAAAAATATTCCACTTAGAACACTTTTTTCATGAAAATTCAGTTTTCACCGTGACATTTTCCTGCATGCCTTTCGCCATGTTAGTTTCTAATTTATCCTTTTTTTCCAAGAAAATAATTTTCTCCCTATGCATGTAATTACACATGAATCGTATTCTATACATTGTATTTTAGCTCCAATGGGAATTATGTGATTTGAAATGAACGCTCATTTCTTCAAGTACGTCAGATGTCGTTGATCGTTCCATTATTTTCAATTCGATTGTTGAGCGGTAGCCATTATGCTTTCCTTTATATATAAGGAGTTCTGCAATAATTATTTTAATTAATTAAATGATTATCTCGGCAATTCACATCATGACATAATTTAATTTTCATTTGAAAACAAACTCAGCGAAAATTAACACTGAAAAGAATCTTCAGTGAAATTTAGAATCTAACCTAGAACGTGTTCTTCACGAAAAGAAGAATAAAACTGTTTAATTATTTGATAAGACAATGACAACTAACAGGAGTACCAGGGAAACTTTATTATCACTCATCGATGACATCGAATTGATAGCCAAGTAAGATTGTTATTAGGGAATATTTAAATGAATTTTTAATTGACTTTGACAGCTGACAGAAGAAGAAGAATTTACATAAAAAAATCGTTCAGTCAACAATACGTTCCTTATGAATTAACAAATAAAATTGTCAATAAAATTCTGACAATGAAAACTCCATCGAATTATTTTGAATCACTTGCGGATAGAATTTGTAAAGAAAAATTGGTCTGAGTCAATAACCTTTTGTTAAATAATTTTTATTTACAGGGAAATGATTGAAAACACAATAGCTCAGAAGCACACAAAATTATCAACGCCAGAGCACGCCCAGCTGACGGAGTTGCTCGTCGCCAAGGATCAGGAATTGAAATCAACCCTGAAGCAATCAGCAGAGCAAGCCCAAATAAACATTAAAATGGACGCCCTGAAGGCTGAGGTGGAGCGACAGGATCAGGATATTCAGCAGCTGCAGCGACAGTTGAAAGAGGCTGAGCAGATTCTAGCAACGGCTATTTATCAAGCCAAACAGAAACTCCAGTCGATTGCTCGTGCTAATAAACGACCAGTGCCTTCTGAAGAGCTCATCAAGTTTGCACACAGGATCAGTGCAGCAAATGCTGTTTGTGCACCTCTCACATGGCAGCAGGGAGACCCCAGGAGACCTTATCCAACTGGTGAGTTTGATTTTAGAGTTCATTACATAAATTATCGAATCATAAATACTTAATAATATGACAATTAATGTTATTAATATTAATTATTGGTGTTTTAGCTTTTTGAAAAACAGTGGATAAAAATGCATTCAGTATTTATCGTCGGGATTATGAAGATATGATTTATAATGATAATTTTTTGAATTCTCTTCTTAGATATTGAAATGAGATTAGGATATTTGGGTCGATTGAGCGATTTGCCGTTGAATGGACAGCTTCTAGGGTCTCATCCAGGTCTCACGTCAGATCTCCACCGGACAGGACATTCCACAGGTAATAAAAAAAATAATCGATTCATTAATTTTTCAGAACTCATTGATAGATCAAGTAATCGATCAAGGAGAGAAGTGCCTAAACAATAATCTGGTTGAATCCAATATTTGATAAAAAAAATTATTATTAATTGTTTGATTTTGAACTTTTTTAGAGCCACCAGCATCATCAGCGAATCAATTCGCGTGGCACCCCTCGGGGGAGATCCATATGTCGATGGGTGGACAGGGGAGCGTTGCCATGAACACCCACAAACAGGAGAACGAGGATGTGGAAGTCATGTCGACGGATTCTTCCAGCAGCTCCTCCAGTGACTCACAATAATCATTGAACCCCTTCTGCTGATAAAAATATTTTAAAAAATTGTTTCGTGCTCCATACTCCCTTCATTTCTCTGACCCTACGCTATTGACGTCATGGAGAATGATATTCGGTAGAAAAGAGTTGAGCATGTCGTCAGAAAAGACTTTCTGTAAATGTCCCTGGAAGAAATTTTGTATTAAAATGATTTTATACCTAAAAAAATCAGTATTTAATATAATTCTCACATTTTTTTCCTCTTTTTTGAATTTAAACATTTCAAAACGAATATTCCCATGGATTACTTCCAGTCCAAAGTGTCTGCACTCGTTGTGCAGCAGATCTTTGTTCTTGAATAATAAAATCTTTCTGAGATGATCACTCGGATAAGATAATTGAGTACTATTATAGGCAGCACTCATTATTAGGAGGGCATCACTGGAAAGAAATAGAAAGTTGCGAAATGAATGAATCTATAGAAAACTGGAAATTATTACATTCATTATTAAATTATTCTTTAATATTTATCATGAGTAATTAATTAATTTCTAATTACCGTCTTATTTTCGGCAAATTCGTAATTGCTGCCATTGCCATTAAAGGAGACAATTTGACAATCAAACGACAAACTTTCACATAATTTTTCAAGTACCAGGCGCGGGAAATCTTCAATGCCATTCTCATAGAGGGGGATTCCCTGTCGACAAAGTTGAAATAAAGATATTTATATCATAAGATCTTATCAAAAATTATTTAAAGAAAAGTAAAAAGGCTTTAGCCTTGTTGATAATTACTTGTATTCTAATGGGAGACTCAGTGCTCTCTCGATTGCTGCGCAATTTCCCAGATACAGGAGTACATACAGCGTTTCCATTTGAGCTCTGTTACTACAAAATAAATTCTTCGGGTGACGGTCACGTTCGTCATATCTTACAAGAAGTTCCTTTATGCATTCCAGGAGATGATCATCGTTGAATTTTGGGACGAATTCCTCGAGGCTCCTGTCACAAAGTCTAATAAACAAAAAATACAGAATTATCAATAAAATTCTGATATCATTAAAAAATTTAATTAATACTGTCGGTGAACCAATTATGAGACAATGAATAAACTAAATAATGAGTGATCGAACAAGATGAATTCTGAATTATTTCCACAAATTAACGGGAGGAAATTTTCGAGTCTTACTATAAGTGGAATTAATTTGAGTTTTATAATACCATTAATGGATGGAATATGAACCTTTGTGCAGAATAAACATGAAATCTGACGATTGGTTCTAGAATCTGGATGGTTGTGACAGAATCTAATCTCTGGACAGTCATATCCTGTCTGATTGCTCTCAAACGATCGAAAATAAAGTTGTAGATAACAGCCCAATCAGCATCTGACCGAGTGGCGATCCTGAAATAATCATTAATATTTCTAAAACCTAATAGTCTTTGATAATAACTTTGAATATTGAATTTACGTACTGGGTGAATAAATATTGAAGAGTAGAGAGGAGAACTGGCCCGGGTCTCAATTCCTCTTGGCGTATTAATGATTTTCCTGGGCCTGATCGGATGTAACATTTTATTATCTTCTTGTTGTCAGCATTGGGTCTTCTCGAGTGTTTCTGGGAGTCATCAATCTCAAATCGATGCAACCATCCTTTCCTCTCGCGACTAAAACAAAGAAAAATTTTTTTATGTTAATTATTACAACAAATTCGTAAAGACAACAACATCATGTAAGATGGAGGACACGAAGTCTTCGTTAGCCTTCACCTGAAAACAATTAATTAAATCTATCTTATTTTGAGAAGTTTTTTTGTTTAGAGTTAAAAATTATTGTTTAAAAACCTACAAACGTCGTTCTTCATCAGGACACATCAATGAACACGTCCCAACGATTCCTTCCGACATAATTCGAAGAATTGCACAAGCAATAACACGCAAATACGACTTAAACCGACGTACGTTAAATTCCCCAAAAATATTTGAAATTTGAAGCGATCACGTCGCATTGGATAACATCACAGCTGCACCTGTTCGTTATGATTCTTTACAGATGTTCTTCAGAGAAAAGATTTGTCTGTTTTGCCCGGTGGACGTATTTTCTTTTAAAAGCGCCACCATCAGATGTTTTGCTTTTTATGCGTTTTGTAAACACCGAGGGTACATAACCTATTGCATTGTTGTTGGTGCTGATAATCAGATTGATGATGACAACGATGAACAGTCCCAAGTTGGAAGTGCAGTGGTCCCCAGTGCATCACAACAAATTTATAACATGGGGAACTGAGATTTGTCTGTATGAAGTTGGACAGATCAAAGATATCGTTCGATCGTCATGTGAGAATATTATTGATAATCACGGATTTTTTATTTTTGAGAACAGAAATTTTTCGGGAATCCCAACAAATGATGTAGATATTTTTCCCTGAATTCCTCAATAATTATAAAACTAATTATAAAACTTGAAAGATTTTACTGACAATTTTCCATTTTTTATTTTTGACTTTTGAGTATTCAAGATTATATTTACTAAATGACAATTGGTAAAAACGATGATATGATAACAATATTAATAAGATATGATTGTGTTTTATCTATAGGCAAACGAATTTCTGAAAAAACAGTGGCTCATCAGCTGGCGACAAATTCGAGTCATCCTTACGTGCGGTGTGTGGATATATATCCTCAACCAGAGCCGGATATTCTCTTAGCAGTTGGTCTTGCCAACGGTAAAGTAGTCCTGACGACCTTCGGACCAACAGCCTTCGACGCCCTAGGCCTCACAGGAAAAGAGTTGCCCCCAAAACACGCACGCCAGTGCAACGCCGTCTCCTGGAACCCCTCGGACCCAAACCTACTGCTCTGTGGTCTTGACAAATACCGAACGGATCACTCAATCCTCCTGTGGGACGTCGTCAGAAGCCAGAACATCACGTCATCAGGTCTTGACCGTCAGTCTCTCCACCACCACACAACAGTCAGTCAATCCGAGCACAACACCACCCTGAAACCCCTAGCCGAGGCCGGTGTCTCCGAGACAACCCACTCCCTCAGTTGGTTCCCCAATGACTCCAGATGCTGTGTCGCTGGTGTAAACAATAAACAACTCAAGATAATCGACTTCAGGGACTCAATTCGAGTCGTTAACACAACCCCAACAAAATCAGTCTACAGTGTAGCAGTTAATCCCCACAATTGCTACCACCTGGTCTCCCACGTGGAGAATCAAATAACAATCTGGGATACGAGATACTTCGAGAAACCAGTGCTCACACTTCCCCAGAGTAGAGGTGTCATTAAAGTCCTCTGGTGTCCAACACGTCACAACCTCCTGGGGACAATCCAGAAGGACTCAAATGCCCTCTACCTCCATGACATTCAGCACTGTGGGAGCAGTGTCCCAGGGAATGCCGACGCAGAGACCAATGGAATGGGATCGAGTGGAGGTGGAAATGTCGGAGTCAACAGCGAGGAGACAGAACCTGGGGCACTGGAGAGGACAGTAATACCTCCCTGGAGCTCGTATCCCACGAGCTTCTCCTGGCATCCCAGTCATGTCAACAGACTTCTAGCGATTTCTCATCAGGGGGTCATCAATGATTACACCGTCTACGAGAGAATCACCATAAATTGGTCAACAAGGTCACATATCGCCTGGAATCATGCCTCAAAAGCTATCAAGTATCTCAGCAGCTCTGACAGCATCTACAGAGGATTCGATGACATCTCGATATTAATAAAGAAAAGAGCTTTCACGGATTATGGGCTTTTGCCTGAATTGTCACAGAATGGAGAACTTGCGGAGAACGATCAGCTGAAGAACCTCTGGCACTGGCTGTGTCTCAGTCGTTCTCTCGTTGAGGACGAGGTGATTCCATCCGGAGATAACAAACACCCGGGGGTCAGGACTGTCATGAAATTGGATGGATCCAACAGTTTCATTAAATCTGAAATTAGCAACCGACCGTGGACTGACATCGGCTCCACCAGTCACACAGCAAAAATTTACAAATCCCCAGATAGAGACAAGGCACTTCAGCTCTGTGGGTGGAGATTTGAGGTCCAGGGTAAGGAGTCTGTCTTCGAGGAGAAGAATAATTTGTTTATCGAGAGGCTTGAGAGGGAGGGGAATTACGCCAGGGCCACAGCAATATCTGTTTTTAATCTGTGCTTGAGACAGGCTATTGAGATTTTGAACAGGGGTTCCAGCAAGATCACAGGCTCGACGAATCTTAATATCGTGGCGATGGCCCTGTCTGGATTCTCTGAGGACAGAAACAGCATGTGGAGGGAATTGTGTCTCAAGTCCAGGGCCCAGCTTACTGATCCTTACTTGAGAGCAACATTTGCTTTTCTCACAGCTGATAATGAGGGGTACGAAGCAGTTCTTAATGAGAGTGGAGTTGCTGTTGAGGATCGAGTGGCTTTTGCCCTCATGTTCCTGTCGGACTCGAAGCTCGCGGATTACCTAAAGAAATTGACAGCCAAACTCACGGAGGAGGGGGATTTGGCTGGGTTTCTACTGACTGGAGCAACTCTTGATGGAATTATTCTTCTCAATCGGTATCTCCAGATCACTGGTGATGTGCAGAGCTGCAGTCTCATTGCTATCAGGGCCCTGTCCTCCAAATTGCTACAGGAGAATCAGGTGCAGGTGTGGATTGAGAGTTACAAGGGCCTGTTGGATGCCTGGAAGATGTGGAATCAGAGGGCACATTTTGATATTGCCATGAGGTCCTCGACGAATGATAAACCACCCCAACAGGTTTATATCTCCTGCAATTTCTGTGGCAAGAGTATTTCTGCTTTTATGCAAGGGCTCAGTCGAGCGAGGGGACCGTTCGGTAGGCTGGGGAATACCTCGAACAAATTGAAGATGTCTTCGTGCCCCAGCTGCAGGAAACCACTACCTCGGTGTGCTATTTGTCTCATGCATATGGGAACTGTCAGTGGATTTCAGGCAGCTATTGCTGGGGTTGGGGGGATGTCCAGTAGAAATGATGAGGATGGAAAACTCACGGAATTTGGAAATTGGTTCACCTGGTGTCAGACGTGCAGACATGGGGGACATACTGATCACATCACCCACTGGTTTGGACAGCACACTGAATGCCCTGTTACCTCCTGCACGTGCAGATGCTTTTCCCTGGATGCGTCTCATGTAATCGGGGGAAATACTCTGTGAAAAGGCTCTCGAGCTATTTGTGATATGCCATTTTCTCCAAGTCCTGAGAGAGAAACGAAACGATATTTATATGGAGTTTAATCGTGTAAATAAAGGAAATAATTTAATTATCTGAGGACAATGTAGAAAGAAAGTTAAGGTAATGTATTTGTAATTTGATATTACGATTTTCCTGAATGCTGAAATCGATGGTAATAATTTATTTTTTCTAAATGGAGTCTTTTGATCAATTGACGGTTAATTTCACACACATTCGTCGCCTCGATCTTAATAATATAATAAAAATGTCGGAAATAGGAAAAATTAAAAAATAGAAAAGAAAATTTTCACTCCAATCCTCGGGTATGACTTTTTTCAACTGACTTTTTTAAAAAATTCAATTATTGTTCGTCGACCAATCGTTGGACACCGCTGCATTATCGCGCATGTGCAGTGGGTACCGCTGGACAGTTTCAAAATGTCTCTCTCATTCTCATTGCACGAGAGGCATAAAAACATATGACTCACGTATAAGTATATCTTGTGAAATAAGAGGTGTATAGTGCGTTCAGTTATTCGAGCGAATTCGAACGGTCGGCGAAGGAATCAGAGAGAAACACCCGTAAAAATGGCTGAATTAATCGCAATACCGTTGAAGAAACCGTCGGACGTTGATGTTGTCAAGCCACTGACAAATGTCATCAAGTCAACGTACAATTCAGACTCCAATCAAAAGGATTACGGTGAGGCCATCAACGAGTTCAGCAAATTGAGAAACAATGCGCTGTGGCGAGCTTTCGAGAAGTATGAAAGCTCTCTGGAGGTTATTTATAAGTACGTATGACTCATTTGGTAATTATCATTTTTTTAGATGACATCTTAAGGTGATTGGATGTCACATGACAGATGTCAGACTATGATACGTCTATTGTCTCTTCGAAATTTGATTTGACAGCATGTCAATTTTTTTTTCCCACATATTAAAATTCCTAGAGTTTGAAGTATAATTTTTATTCAATAATTTACAAGTATTATTTTTTATTATTTTATTGCAGTTACTACGATCAGCTGTGCTCGTTGGAAGGAAAAATTCCAATGCATGAGCTACAAATTCCATTCAAGTGGAAAGATGCGTTTGATCGTACGATATTCGGCGGGAAATTGAGCTTGAGTGGGTACTTCTTCCTCTGTGATTCTCAAATTATTACAATTGCTATTAATAATCCTATTATCTCCAGCTATCAGTACACTCTCGTATGAGAAAATGTGCGTGCTCTTCAACATCGCAGCTCTGCAAAGCTCAGTCGCTGCTAGTCAATCGATGGAGAGTGACGAGGGCTTGAAATTATCCGCTAAATTATTTCAAGTACGTAGAAAAATTAATTTTATGTATTACAAGTAGAGTAAAGTGAATTATGATAGAAATAGAGAAAATAATTGAAGTATATTTAAAAAGTATTTTTTCGAAATCAGGAGATAAATGGAGTATTAAAAAACCAATGCATTTTTAATTCCAGCAAGCAGCGGGAATTTTCAATTACTTGAAGGGCAACGTTATGCTGTCAATCCAGCAGGAGCCGACTCCAGACATGTCCCCTGACACCCTGAGTGCCTTATCCGCGTTGATGCTGGCACAGGCCCAAGAGATTTTCGTCCACAAAGCGATTCATGACTCAATGAAAGAGGGTGTGATCGCTAAATTGGCCTCCCAAGCCGAGGAAATGTACGCAGACACAGCCAAGCTCTTCCAGAAAGACATGTTTCGCTCGTTCTGGGACAAGGATTGGGTGCCCCTGATAATAGGAAAACAATCTGGTTATCGAGCGATGGCTGAGCTGTACCAGGCATCAGTCTGCAAAGCGAAGAAGGCAATTGGTGAGGAAATCGCCAGGCTAGAGTACGCGGTAGACCTCTTCACATCAGCAGCTCAACGTTCGAATAAGCCAAACCTATTTGAAGAATACTCGGGTCGCGCCCAACGTCGTCTTGCAGAAGTGAAGAAGGACAACGATTTCATCTACCACGAGCGAGTCCCCAACATCAAGAACCTCGAGCCCATTGGCAAAGCGAATGTCGCCAAACTCCTCCCCTTAAATCATCCAATGGGCTCCAGCTCTAAGGACATCTTCGAGGAACTTCTCCCTGTTGGTGTTCACCAGGCCATGTCTTCTTACGAGATTCGTCGAAACGACCTAGTCAATTGTGAAATATCGAAATTACGAGAGATGACACAAGTCTTGAATACGGTTTTAGCGAGTTTAAATCTTCCAGCAGCTATCGAGGACACGAGTGGTACGGAGATACCTCAATCCCTCCTAGAGAAAGCGAATTATGTCAGATCAGCTGGGGGTATCACTGCCCTGGAGTCAGCCATGAATGAACTCCCAGATCTGCTGCAACGAAATAAAGATATCCTGGATGAAACAGAGAAGATGTTAACTGAGGAGAGAGATTCTGATAATCAGTTGAGGGAGCAGTTCAAGGAGAGATGGACGAGAATTCCCAGTGATAAACTTACCCAGCAATTTACTGTCAATGCACAAAAGTATCGAGCTATTATCGATAATGCTGTGGCTGCTGACAGCACTGTTCGTCAGAAATTTGAGTCACACAGGGAGGGAATGGAGATGCTGAGTCTGGATGAGAGTCAGTTGTCGTCAGCTGTTCCCTCAGGATCAGCCCTACAGGATAGCAATGCCGTCAGTCAGCTGCAGAAGCTCATGGAGGAGGTGGAAACGCTGAAAGCGGAGAGAGATGTCATTGAGAGTGAATTGAAATCTGCAACAGCTGACATGAAATCTGTCTTCCTGGCTGCTCTAGCCAAGGACGGTGCCATCGATGAGCCCAATCTCTCGGTGGAGAACATTGGAAAGACCTATGGAGCTTTCACTAATCAGATTAGAGACAGCTCCAGTAGACAGGAGAGTTTAGTCTCTGCTATACAATCAGCTCATGCTGCATTCACCAGGGAGCAGAGTGGAAGTGGTGGAAACAGGGAGGCAATGCTCAGGAAATTGGCGTCGGCGTACGATGCATTCAAGGAGTTGAAGAATAATTTACACGAGGGAGCGAAATTCTATAATGATCTTACGCAGCTGCTCGTTGTTTTCCAGAATAAAATATCTGATTTTTGCTTCGCGAGGAAAACTGAGAAGGAGGAGCTCCTCAAGGATTTGACGACTAATCTGAGTCACAGTGGACCTGCTGTGACACCTAGCATTCCAGCACATCATTCCGCACCGGTTGAGCCTAGCTATGGAGGTGGTTCACAGTTGCCTTATCCCACTCAGTATCAGGGAGGCATGCCTGTGCCTTATGGACCTACACCTGCTGGACCTTATCCCGCTTATGTGCCACCACCGATGCCTAATACATATAATCCTTATGCTACTATGCCGTATCCTAATCAAGGTAGAGAATCTTGTATTGTTTCGTGAGGTCAGGGACCTTGTCAGATTTTTTTTTCAAGTGAATATCCATTATTCAAAATTTTTAATCCTTACGGTTTTCGTTTTGACGCTAAAATTTCCCAGTTATTAATTATTCTGGGGTGAATTTTTGGAATAAAATCAATGTCAATTGTATAAAATCATCAAGAGGATTGCTGCATTGGTTTATTATACTAATGATTAAATATTCATGATTGAATAGCTCCATATGGTGGTCCGAGCTACCCTTATCAGCCTCAGCAACATCAGCCTGGGTATAATCCTGGGTACGCCACGTTTCCACGATATCCTGGAGACCAGTCCCGTCCTGGTCAGAATCCCTGGTGAATTTCGACGTCACAGAAAGTAAATATGACATATTAATGCTCTTGTTATGTCACAGTAATTCAGTGGAAACTTGATGCTTGTTTATATTGTTGTCAATAAACTATTTACTCAGTTCGTACTATTAAAGATATTTAGAGGTATTCGTAGTTGTAATTTTGTATTATCCCTGAAATAAAGTAATCTAGTAAATTCCTTCATCCCTCGTGGTTTATTCATTTTTATTCATTCATCTCATTCGAATCTCGGTGATTAGAAATTCTTAATTCTTTCTACAATTGGACTTAATGTAAATTAATTTGGATAAAAAATCAGATTTAGCGAATATCGGCTACAGAAAATTAATTGATGTAAAAACAGTTCTGATTCGATTTTGATTTTTCTACCACTAAGAATTTCAAATTAAAAAAAAATTATCAACATAATCCAAGCCATGATGTAACTGCACATGATTATTATTAACTTCCGTGAACGGTGCATTTGGATACTTGAAATAATTTCTAATTCATCGATATATGAAAAATACACTTGCACAAAATTATCTCGTTGATAAAGACAGAACAGACATTTTTGCATTTGTGCATTTATATTGCAAACAATTAATTTCGGATGACACTTCAGCGTTTTTTAATATTCACTAACTACACTGAAAAAATAAATGAAAGACAATTAAACAAAATAATTTTTCCAAGAGCTTCGAAGAAGAATAATTTCAACGCGTAATAATTAAAATTATAAAAATAAAAATAATCAAAACCTCAGTGAAAAATAAAGTTAGGGTTTGAAAAAATTCTGAAGTGCACTTGAGACACGAAAAATTGATTCCACAATGAAATAATTATCTGTAAACAATTAGCGTTTAGAGTAATAACTACTCTCAGAGGAAACACTGCGTGAAGTTCTTTTAATTCGAGATTGATTCTCGTCATTGCCCTCACGACTCTTCTGCTCCTCCGAATATCTCTTATCATTAGAGCTGTTCCTCCTGGACCTCCTGGACGTTGAATACCTGTGAGTCCCGTCATTCCTGCGACTGTACCTGCGATAACTCGAATCATCACGACTACGATTCTCCCTGGATCGTGAACGCCTCCTACGACGTCTGTCACCACTGGACTGACGCCAGGACGACCTGCCATTAGCTCCAGACCCTCTGCGAAATTTACTGTCAACGGTATCGTGAGATCTCGAGCTGTTTATTCTACTTTGCACCCGTCTGTGAGTGTTGTCTTGATCATTGGATTTGTTAAGGTCAGGGCTACCCTGATCTCCTCGATTATCTGATTTGGGGATCTTCTGGTCATCGCACGCCTCTGTGAATCTCCTAGGTCCTCTCTGCAATTCTTCTTTATTCTTCTTCAAATCCTCCAATTTTATCGTACGCTTCTGCGCTTGTTTCCAGTGAGGAGGCGTTGCACTCCGGGATCTACTCTGGGATGGGGTACGATATCTAAATGTTCCTCTGCCTTTAAATATTCGTCCTGCCTTACGATAATTCCGTCCAGATTCTCGATTATAGTATTGCTTATACTCTTTTTGATTGGAATTGGTGGTGGGTCCAGCGCGGTATAGAAACTTGTTAGCAGGCACTTCCGGTATTTCATCGGGATCGATTTTTGTCACCGATACCAGAGGATGACGATTCTGGTATTCTTTCTCGTCGTCATCGTCCTCTGCACCACTTTTCTCCGATTCAGCGGTTTTTCTTTCGCTGAAATAATTTATCGAGCCCATACAAAATTAATTAATTCACTATTCAGTATTTAAACTGAATAGCAGAAAAGAAAGTAAAAATCCAAATCTGTGAAAAAATAGCGAATGCATCTCTGGATTTTTGAAAGAGAAAAGTTCTTTCTGATTTAATTACAATTTGTAAAAAATGTTTACTTGTAATTTGTGATAACTTTGAAAACACTGAGATTTTTACCTTTTCTTGTGTTTCTTTCTCTTTTTAGACGATCTCTTGCCTGAGTCTGAAATTGAATCTGAAGACCTGACTTTTTTGCTGCTTCGGGTTTCGTCTGCAAAATAAATTTCATTCATGCTCAATGGTACGACATGAATAATAAAAATAAATAGTAAATCGTGTGGACAATTAAATGCCGATAAAATCGAATGAGTCATGAAAATCTTTCGTACCTTTCGATTTGGCTTTTAAAACAAGTTCTCCACAGTGAACCACTTTGACATCCTGCAGAGGTCTAGACATCCGATCGACAGGCAATCCTTCAATATGCAATACGCAGTCCTGTCCAGAAACAACCTCTCCAAAAACAACATGGACACTGCAATGAAAAATCGATAAATCAATAAAAATTACCAATTAACTGATTTTTAATGTAAATCCCAACGTAAAATACACTTACTTGTCAAGATGGGGAGCGGGTTGCGTTGTACTATAACAACAAAATTACATTAAGGTGATAAAAGTCGTAGAGAGAGCTTTTTCAACTTTTCATCGGGTCATTGTGTTGTTGAAATGGTACAGCAAGTCCTCGCTCATGACTACGCAAAAACAGTGCTGGTTATTTATTCCCGTGGATCCATGATCATAATAATTCCACACGGATTATTTGAGGCATTACCTTTCGACAATTTCAGATTCAGGGAGGAACTGACATGCAAATTACACCACCAAATGAATGTTTATGACATATTTGTTGTGAAATTCAATCCTCAAGGAATTCTTAAATTATCTGATGTTTGAGCTATTATTTTATGATTATGAATCGACGCATTATCAGAACTGTAAAACAGTGATGATAACGCGGGAGTAATAAATAAATAAACATAACATAAGTCGGAGCAATATTTCATCTTCAAGTCAACTCGTTTCATCTTGTTTATATCAAATTAATGTTTATCACTTTACGATTTTTTAATTATTAGTTCTCATTTCTCTTTTGATACGTTTCCTTTCCCCTAGAGGAATGAAAACCGAAATGAAAAAGAGAAGATCACTGTCGAGTGTTAAAAGAACGTAAAGCATTCGGTGATTTGACTTGATAAAAAAATTGAAGAATTATCCACTCCTGGAGAACACTCACATGAAAAACTGGGATCCATTGGTGTCTTTCCCTCGATTTGCCATCGACAGGAGGAAAGGCTTGTCATGTTTCAAAGTAAAATTTTCATCTGAAAAATCGGGGAAAATAAAAAATGAGAGTTCGATGTCAGAATGGCGAAGAAACAGATAATGGAAAAAATGGAGTACCTGAAAAAGTTCCTCCGTAGATCGATTCTCCACCTGTACCATTTCCACCAGAAAAATCTCCTCCTTGAATCATGAAATCCTTGACCACACGATGGAAAATAATTCCCTTGTAATGCAGGGGTTTTGCTGTTGTCTTCCCCAGACCCAATTCTCCAGTGCAGAGGGCACGAAAATTTTCCGACGTTTGGGGGCATAAGTCATTGAACAATTCAAAGACAATTCTGCCAATTGGCAGACCCCCTATTTCCACATCGAAGAATACACGAGGATTCACTTTCACCATTTTGAAAGTTATGCCCTCCCTGGAAAATAATTATTTATTATTTATATTATTCATTATGCATTGTTATTCATGATGAAAAATCATTTGACATGAAACTCATCGAAATATCAATGCAGCATTTGCTAGAAGTTTTGAAAAAATAATATCTGGAGTGAATCACGAAATCAAAACCCGAGAAAATCTGAGATCCCATAAACTCGAAAAAAATTAGTTCCACCGGAATTAGTCAGGACTAACCTCTCCCCCAGTTGTTCGTCCTTTCTGAAATTCCGGTAAAAATCTAAAAATCGTTAAAGCGTTTTAAAATCGTACAACTAGGGTGGGATTATACCGAAATACCTACGACAAATTCCAGCTGATGAAGATTGAGAATTCTTATCGAATTAGCACTAATTATCACAAAACAAAACCTGAAACTGTCGAGACAATCCGTCATATTCCACTCAGAGATAACGATCTTCGGCGATTAATCGAAGGTGTCGATTAATCGAAGAAAGTGTCGATTAATCGAATATGTCGATTGTCATCGATTAATCGAATGTACCAATTTTTAAAAAATAATATTCCACTCTGGATTAATGGTTTTTCAATGTTGTCGAAGCATATAATATCATTTTAATTTCAATGAGTAACGCAATAATCATAATAATTCCCTATTAATCCTTCCAGAGATAATTATTAATAATTATAATTTTAATTGGCTTTAGTCGGAAAAGACATATGCAACATTA